AAGTCCTTCCATTGATTACTTGTTCTCACTGTCAGGAAATTTCTCCTTACTTCTAGGTTGCTTCTCTCTTTAACAAGCTTCTACACATCGCTTCTTATCCTGCTTCTTCTGCTTTGGAACAATAAGCCATTCCCCTCTTCTCTGGGACAGCCCCTCAAATACTGGAAGATTGCTATCATGTCCCCCCAATCCTTCTTCTTGGTAGACTAGACATGCTAAGTCCCTCAACCATTCTTTATATGTTTCAGCCTCCAACCGCCTAATCATCCTTGCTGTTCTTCTCTGCACTCTTTCCAGAGTCTCAACGTCTTTTTTTTTATCATGTTGAGATCAAAACTGGATGCATTATCCCAAGTGTGGTCTTACCAAGGCATTATAAAGTGGTACTAACACTGCTGGAGAAGACTCCTGAGAGCCCCCTGGACTGCAAGGCGATCAAACAGGTCAGTCCTAGAGGAGATCAACCCTGACTGCTCTTTAGAAGGCCAGATCCTGAAGTTGAAACTCAAGTACTTTGGCCACCTAATGAGAAGGAAGGACTCACTGGAGAAGAGCCTGATGCTGGGAAAGATGGAGGGCAAGAGAAGAAGGGGACGACAGAGAATGAGGTGGCTGGAGGGAGTCACTGAAGCAGTAAGCATGAGCTTAAATGGACTCCAGAAGATGGTAGAGGACAGGAAGGCCTGGAGGAACGTTGTCCTTGGTGTCGCAATGGGTCGGACACGACTTCACAACTAACAACAACAACTAATACTTTATGTGATCGTGATTCTGTCCCTCTGTTAATGCAGCCCAGAACTGCGTTGGCTTTTTTTGGCAGCTCCAATCAATCAATCAATCAATCAGAATAGAGCTGAAAGGGACTTTGGTGGTCTTTTATAGAGACCCTATACCATTCTGGACAATTGGCTGTCCTTAAAAGCTTCCAGTGATAGAATACCCACAACTTCTGGAGGCAAGCAGTTCCACTGGTTAATTCTCACTGAAAGGAAGTTTCCCTTTAACTTCAGATTGCTTCTCTCCTTGATTAGTTTCCATCGTTTCTTGTCCTGCCTTCAGGTGCTTTGGGGAATAGGTTGACACCCCCTCCCCTTCTTTGTGGCAGCCCCTCAAATACTGGAATACTGCTATCATGTCCCCCCCTAGTCCTTCTTTTCTTTAGACTGGCTATGCCCAAATCCTGCAACCGTTCTTCATATGTTTTTGACTCCAGGCCTTTAATCATCTTAGTTTCTCTCCTCTGCATTTTTTCCAAAGTCTCAACATCTTTTTTGTAAAGTGGTGATCAAAACCTGGATGCAGTATTCCAGGTGTGGCCTTACTAAGGATTTATAAGACCACACCTGGAATGAGCTGCTGCACACTGCTGGCTCATGCTTCAGTTCTGCTACCCTTATTATTGGTTTGAACCCTTATGCCTTCCTCTGTGGCTTCTCCAAGCTTGTGTATGCCAACCTACTTGCAGTTTTTACACTAGCTACAAATTGTGAGACTTTTGTCTTGAAGAAGGCCACCGGAAAGTTCATAGCCAGCCAGTAAAGAGTTGTGCATGATGTACTTTGAGTGGATGTGGGGTTTTTTTAATAGAAAGCTGTATATGTTTTCATATTTTAATTAGCCCTTTGTTAGCCTGGCGCATTGTTTTGCTCGGGTGAGCATCACTTTTTCTAAGGAATGCTTTTTGGAACCCATTTCTGTAAAGCCACTGCACAAATTCTTTCTAAAATGGAGCGATGTGTCTACATACGCGAGACTCCTCATAAGATATTGCCCCTTCCATTGGCTACCCATTTTCTATCTCAGGGACTGTCCATCTCTTATCACTGCCCACAGGAATTTCAGGAATGGTTTCAGGTTTATCCTCATTGTTGTACCTAAATCTCCAAATGCTGGGATTTCAATTCAGTTCAGAATAGAGCTGGAAGGGACCAGTGTTGGAACACCCACAACTTCTGGAGGCAAACCCTTCCACCAATTAATTATTCTCACTGTCAGGAATTTCCTCCTTAGTTCCAGGTTGCTTCTCTCCTTGATTAGTTTCCATCCGTTGCTTCTTGTCCTGCATTGAGATGCTTTGAAGAATAGGTCAACCTTTCATAAGATGGAATAACTTCTGGATGGGAACTAGACTAGATTATAAACCTCCCAGTCAGGAGTCCCTTGAACTGGGTGAGTGCTATTAGCTTGTAATTATAATTGCAATAAGGCATAGGCCTTGGGCCACAGCTCATGGGAATATACCATCCCAACAGTGGGATCCGAACATGCTTCCCAGTTATGGATTTCCCAGAATCCAACTGCAGTCTGGGAAAAACAGACTCTCAGCCCTGGGAAGTAGACCACACCATGAAAAGCAACACCAGAGGAAAGTTAGAACTACAGGTAGTCCTCAATTTATGACCACAACTGAGCCCGGAATTTCCGTTGCTAAGTGAGACACTTGTTAAGTGAATTTTGCCCCGTTTTACCACTTTTCTTGCCACAGCTGTGAAGCAAATCACTGCCGTTCTTAAATTTGTAAAGGGGTTGTTAAATGAATCTGGCTTCTTCCCTCTTGACTCTGCTTCTTAGAAGGTCGCAAATGGAGATCACGTGATCTCAGGACACTGCAACCGTCACAAATTGCGAGTCAGTGACCAAGCGCCTGACTTTATTTATTTTTAAATTTTATTATTTTTTTTAAAGAGAATTCAATAATAATTATTCAACAAAAACATGTTGTCTGAGTATCTTATTCACTAATACAAATTAAATTCCTAATCCCTAAACCTTTCTCTAACCCAGTGTTTCTCAACCTTGACAATTTTAAGGCATGTGGACTTCAGCTCCCAGAATTCCACAGCCAGCATTGCTGGCTGTAGAATTCTGGGAGTTGAAATCCACATGCCTTAAAATTGTCAAGGTTGAGAAACACTGCGTTAACCATTGATAAAATAGGTCCCAAGTTTGAAAATATTCTGTTTCTTCTTTTTCTTTCAACCTTAAAGTAAGTCTGTCCATTTCCGCACAGTCTAATTTTTTTTTTTTATTTCTTCTTCTGGTGGTATTTCTCCGTTCTTCCAATATTGTGGAAATATAATTCTTTCCGCTGTTGTCACACGTAGAATCAAATATGTACTTTGCTTATCAGGTTTTTCTGGCATTATACCTAATTAAAAAAAAATCAGGTTTATGTCAGGGGTAGGCAACCTTGCCTCTTTTATGACTCCTGGACTTCAACTCCCAGAATTCCTGAGCCAGCCACGCTGAGGGGAAAGGGAGAGGTTTCCAAGCTGAGCCGTGCTGGCTCAGGAATTCTGGGAGTTGAAGTCCACGAGTCATAAAAGAGCCAAGGTTGCCTACTCCTGGTCTATGTGTTTCTCTAACATTTTTTCTAACCAAGTGTGTATTATTGCCAAGCGCCTGAATTTTGATCACGTGACCCTGGGGATGTTGCAACAGTTGTAAGTCTGGCAAACGGTCTTAAGTCACTTCTTCCATTGCCATTGTAACTATGAACTGTCACTAAATGAACTATTGTAAGTCGAGGACTACCTGAGTGGGGTAGGCGATTGTTAGATTCTTGCAAGTCTGATAGCGTTTCTCACCATCCCTCTCATCCCGCTTTGGAGTCAGGGAGGCGCCCCGTCTGAGCTTCCAGTGTGTATCGTCTCCTTTCCCAGGGATTCAGGATGTGTCATGCCTCCGTCGGAGCCTGAATCTGCTGAGGAAAATGGAACTGGAACGGGACCCTATGGAGGTCGGAGGAGAGGTGTCTGTGGCTTCAGAGGAATGTGGAGAAGAGCAGGCCGAGGCAGGCCAGGGCCCTTCAGGATTGGAACAGGAGGAACAGGAGAGGCAGAGTTCAGGTGATGAGCAAGGGCCACCCCCACCTGATCCTAGAGCACGGAGAATGGAGAGAAGGAGGGAACAAGGCAGGCAGGCTCAACTACTCAGGAGGAGAGCGTCCCGCCCTTCTCCACAAGGAACACCTGGAGAGAGAGATTTAAGGAGACGCTATGGGGAGGGGCATTTGTCAGGAACAAACGCTGATTCCTTGGAGTGTATTGTGTTATGTATTGTTGCTGATCTCTTGTTGTGTGACTTCTGTTTGGAAACCTGGAAACTCGAACTATTGGATTGACTGACCACGTTACTTGAATGTTTAAAGACCTTGGACAGTATTTCGGATTCTCTCTTTTGAAAACTGCTCCCGCAAGCTAGGATTCAAACAGATTCCTTAAATTTATGTTTCCTTCCTTGTTATCTCTATGGCCTTGAGTACTTTCTTATGCTAATCAGACTATATTTGAGTCTACTTTCAGCCAGAGTCGGCTGAAGGGGTGTGTGTGTTGTTTTGTTGGAGGCTTGCCAGCAAATGTGGGAGCATTTGGGGAAAATTTGGAGCAATAAAAGAACTGTTTGAATTGCCAGCTGACTGCATTGCCTCTGTGCTCTGCCCTGGGTCATCACAGGATGGTTCTACTTCATTTCTGGAGCAGTTTCTGAATATAGGCAGTCCTCAATTTACGACAATCCTTTTAGCAGCTGCTCAAAGTTATAAAGGGCTTTGAAAAAAGTGGCTTTTGACACTTACAGCTGTCACAACATCCCCATGGTCACGTGATCAAAATGTGGGCGCTTGGCAACCGGCTCGTATCTATGTGACCGCCATTTTTGACCTTCCCAGTCAGCTTCCGACAAGCAAAGTCAACGGGGGAAACCAGATTCATTCAGTGACCATATGACTCACTTTAGAACAGGGTCAAAAAAAGGCTGCAAAATTGGGTGCCACTTGCTTAACAGCCACCTTGCTTCATGGTGGAAATTCTGTTATCAGATGTGGTCATAAGTCAAGGACTTACCTGTATTATCTTCAAGGCAACCTCCATTCTCAAGGTGAGCAGCAATTTTTACGCCCGGTTCAGACCAATGGAAGGGAAGAAATCAAAGTCTCTTGCAACTAGTTCCTCTTTTAAAATTAGTTTCATTTTTATTTTCATCCTCATTGATACTCGCATTCATTCCCCTGAGTGCCACAATCCAGCTTCCCCCTCAGTGCCTGGATTGACTCCGAAACCTACAAGAAAGTTGGGGAGAAACGTGGAGAGAACCCAATAAGCAGGGGAGAATAACAAAAGGATTGAAGCTCGGGGGGAGGGAGGAAGAGAAGAAGAACGAGGGAGAGCGAGGGAGGGAGGGAGAAAGAGAGGGGGGAGAGAGGGAGAGAGAGAAAGGAAGAGAGGAAGAGGGAGGGAGGGACGGAGAGAGGGAGAGGGAGAGAGGTGGAGAGAGGGAGAGATGGAGGAAGAAGCAGAGAAAGGGAGAGAAGGGAGGGAGGGAGAGGGAGGAGAGAGATAGAGGGAAGAGAGAAGGAGAGGAGAGAGACGGTGAGAGGGAGGGAAAGGGAGAGAGAGGGAGGGAAAGAAGGAGGGAGACAGAGGGAGGGAGACAGAGATTGAGGGAGGAGGGTGAGAGGGAGGGAAAGAGAAGGAAGGAGAGAGAAGGAGAGAAAGGGAGGGAGGGCAAGAGAGAGAGAGAGAGAGAGTGAGAGAGAGAGAGAAGGAGAGGAGGATGCAGGAAATACACCAGGGTGGAAAAGTTAACTCCACCAGCTGAACCCTGAAAAGGAAGAAATGGAGAAAGCTGGAAGGACCCAGAGGGGTGGAGAAAAGACCATCAGCTTCTTCCTTCTCCTTCCTCTTTTCCTCCCACAGGAAAGCCAAGTGCCCAGTGAGTCCAATCTTTGGTACAAGGGCTTAAAACCCAGAAGTCCACAAAGCGTCCACTGCAGTCTCAGTCAATGTTCATCTCCAGAGACGAGTCTGCCAGCGGTCCCTTTGATGTAGCCGCGCATCGTCCCTCGGCTGTGCCCAGAGGTCAGACCGCCAATATTTGAACACGGCAGGCGGTTGTGCAAGGGAGGCCCGGCGAAGGCCGTTGTCTTTGGTCAAGCACATGATTGTTTCCAATTGCTAGGGGAGGAAAGTTTTGAGATAGGAAGAGAGAACCTCAACCCAACCGCCACGGGGTGGATTGGCTGCAGCTGGCGCAGCTGTTCTGCACTCTCCATGGCAGCACCGCCAGCTGTGGGTTGGGTCCCCAAGTCCCGGAGCCCAGGAGCCCCCTTCCTCTCCCACCTTGGCACATCTGAAAGAACATGAGGTAGATGAAGTCACTCCCTTCTTTGGTACATTGACATTCTGCACTAGCACAAAAGGAACTCCCCACCCCCCCGTCCCCACCCCATCCCACCCCCAGAGCCCAGTGAATCCCAAGGAGACACAATCCACTCCCCACCCCCAACCCAAGGGCTGCCTCCACACCGCAAGAGGTTGTCCCCACCCAACCCGTTCCCTCAAAGCAATGTAATGAAAGTGCAACTGAAGAGATGGGTGGTTTTGCTTGTGTCCGTAGGGAGGCAACGCGGGAAGGGAGGAACATGGGAAGGACGAGGGGGTTGGGGCAAGGAAGAGAATGGGCGTTATGGAGCCACAGGTGTCCTCACCGCAGCTCTAAGACAGGAGAAGGCAGCTTTCATGGGAGCAAGTGCAATCTAACCCTCAGACCTGCTCTCCGTACCCCAATCCTCTCTTGACTGGCCTGTCCTACTCATGAAGTCTCCCCATATTAGAAGAACAGGGCTGGGAAGGATTTTGGAGATCTTCTGAATACAGAAAACAGAATGACAGAGTTGGAAGCAACCTTGGAGGTCTTCTAATCCAACCCCCTGCTCAAGCAGGAGACCTTCTACCATTTCAGACAAACCTTCCAACCTTCCAACCTTCACCTCAAACCTTCCACCTTGCCAGAAGGGACCTTGGAGGTCTTCTAATCCAACCCCCTACCCAAGCAGGAGACCCTCTACCATTTCAGACAAACCTTCCAACCTTCCGACCTTCCCCTCAAACCTTCCACCTTCCCAGAAGAGACCTTGGAGGTCTTCTAATCCAACCCCCTGCCCAAGCAGGAGACCTTCTACCATTTCAGACAAACCTTCCAACCTTTCGACCTTCACCTCAAATCTTCCACCTTCCCAGAAGGGACCTTGGAGGTCTTCTAATCCAACCTTCTGCCCAAGCAGGAGACCCTCTACCATTTCAGATAAACCTTCCAACCTTTCGACCTTCACCTCAAACCTTCCACCTTCCCAGAAGAGACCTTGGAGGTCTTCTAATCCAACCCGCTGCCCAAGCAGGAGACCTTCTACCATTTCAGACAAACCTTCCAACCTTTCGACCTTCACCTCAAATCTTCCACCTTCCCAGAAGGGACCTTGGAGGTCTTCTAATCCAACCTTCTGCCCAAGCAGGAGACTCTCTACCATTTCAGATAAACCTTCCAACCTTTCGACCTTCACCTCAAACCTTCCACCTTCCCAGAAGAGACCTTGGAGGTCTTCTAATCCAACCCCCTGCCCAAGCAGGAGACCTTCTACCATTTCAGACAAACCTTCCAACCTTCACCTCAAATCTTCCACCTTCCCAGAAGGGACCTTGGAGGTCTTCTAATCCAACCTTCTGCCCAAGCAGGAGACCCTCTACCATTTCAGATAAACCTTCCAACCTTTCGACCTTCACCTCAAACCTTCCACCTTCCCAGAGTCATAGGCTGGAAGGGACCTTGGAGGTCTTCTACTCCAACTTCTTGCTCAAGCAGGAAACCTTATACTGTACTGGTTAAATAGTTGTCCAATCTGTTGGGTTTGGGGTAGGTTTTCTGGAGGGTTTTCAAGATCTCCAGTGATGGAGCACCCCAACTCTGAGAGGCAAGTTATTCCACTGATTATTTTTTCCACTGTCAGGAAATTTCTCCTTACTTCTAGGTTGGATCTCTTTTTAAACAAGCTTCCTCCTTGCCTTGGTCCATCCCATGAACCTCACATTCATATGTCCTGCTGATCTTCCTACAATTTTCCCATCATGCTGGTTTTATCTAAGATGCTTTAGATAGGAGTCCCGTGCAGCTGTCACCAGAACCAATGCACCATGAGATTTAAACACCCGCTATCACACTCACACAGCTGCACCTTCCCCAAGATCTTTGGTTTGGTTAGGACTGACAACCACTCCCGACCTCTGTTGAGCTGAGCCATAGCTCCCAGGGGTGAGTGTGCAAAGAGGAATTGGTGAGTGCACAAAATTAGGACTGGGGTAGGACTCTGTAGTGGTGAAGACTGGGAAACAGAGGGAGCATGTTAAGAGCACGGTCATATGCCTGGGCAGGGAATGGTGGAGAGGACAACCCTGTTCCAGTTGAAGACTCCCAACCACCATCAAGTCCTTGGAGGAACCCAACTGGTGTCCGGCATCCAACCTCAATCGGAAATCAATGGAGGAGAAGCCATAACCATAGTTCACTAGCTCCACCATGGCTCCACAATAACAAAACCACAGAGTTGCCCAATCTTTTCTTGAGAACCTCCCGTGATGGAGCACCCACAACTTCTGGAGGCAAGCCGTTCCGCTGATTAATACAAATCCAGAGTTGGAAGGGACCTTGGAGGTCTTCTAGTCCAACCCATTGCTTGAGCAGGAGACTCTACACCATTTCAGACAAACGGTTGTCTAATCTCTTCTTGAAAACCTCCCGTGATGGAGCACCCACAACTTCTGGAGGCAAGTCGTTCCACAGATTAATCAGCTTCCTCTCTACCACCTTCGTCTCAACCCCATGTCCTCCTCACTGCCACAATGTCTCTCCAACCTGCCATTCGCCCTGCCCCGAAGTCCCTTTCCAAGCTCTGGANGAGAGAGAGAGAGAGAGAGAGAGAGAGAGAGAGAGAGAGAGAGAGAGAGAGAGAGAGAAGGAGAGGAGGATGATGCAGGAAATACACCAGGGTGGAAAAAGTTAACTCCACCAGCTGAACCCTGAAAAGGAAGAAACGGAGAAAGCTGGAAGGACCCAGAGGGGTGGAGAAAAGACCATCAGCTTCTTCCTTCTCCTTCCTCTTTTCCTCCCACAGGAAAGCCAAGTGCCCAGTGAGTCCAATCTTTGGTACAAGGGCTTAAAACCCAGAAGTCCACAAAGCGTCCACTGCAGTCTCAGTCAATGTTCATCTCCAGAGACGGGTCTGCCAGCGGTCCCTTTGATGTAGCCGCGCATCGTCCCTCGGCTGTGCCCAGAGGTCAGACCACCAATATTTGAACATGGCAGGCGGTTGTGCAAGGGAGGCCCGGCGAAGGCCGTTGTCTTTGGTCAAGCACATGATTGTTTCCAATTGCTAGGGGAGGAGAGTTTTGAGATAGGAAGAGAGGACCTCAACCCAACCGCCACGGGGTGGATTGGCTGCAGCTGGCGCAGCTGTTCTGCACTCTCCATGGCAGCACCGCCAGCTGTGGGTTGGGTCCCCAAGTCCCAGAGCCCAGGAGCCCCCTTCCTCTCCCAGCTTGGCACATCTGAAAGAACATGAGGTAGATGAAGTCACTCCCTTCTTTGGTACATTGACATTCTGCACTAGCACAAAAGGAACTCCCCACCCCACCCACCCGTCCCCACCCCACCCCCAGAGCCCAGTGAATCCCAAGGAGACACAATCCACTTCCCACCCTCAACCCAAGGGCTGCCTCCACACCACAAGAGGTTGTCCCCACCCAACCCGTTCCCTCAAAGCAATGTAATGAAAGTGCAACCGAAGAGATGGGTGGTTTTGCTTGTGTCCGTAGGGAGGCAACGCGGGAAGGGAGGAACGTGGGAAGGAAGAGGGGGTTGGGTTGGGGCAAGGAAGAGAATGGGCGTTGTGGAGCCACAGGTGTCCTCACCGCAGCTCTGAGACAGGAGAAGGCAGCTTTCATGGGAGCAAGTGCAATCTAACCCTCAGACCTGCTCTCCACACCCCAATCCTCTCTTGACTGGCCTGTCCTACTCATGAAGTCTCCCCACATTAGAAGAACAGGGCTGGGAAGGATTTTGGAGATCTTCTGAATACAGAAAACAGAATGACAGAGTTGGAAGCAACCTTGGAGGTCTTCTAATCCAACCCCCTGCCCAAGCAGGAGACCCTCTACCATTTCAGACAAACCTTCCAACCTTCCGACCTTCACCTCAAACCTTCCACCTTCCCAGAAGGGACCTTGGAGGTCTTCTAATCCAACCCCCTGCCCAAGCAGGAGACCCTCTACCATTTCAGACACACCTTTCGACCTTCACTTCAAACCTTCCACCTTCCCAGAGTCATAGGCTGGAAGGGACCTTGGAGGTCTTCTAGTCCAACTTCCTGCTCAAGCAGGAAACCTTATACTGTACTGGTTAAATAGTTGTCCAATCTGTTGGGTTTGGGATGGGTTTTCTGGAGGGTGTTCAAGATCTCCAGTGAAGCACCCCAACTCCGAGAGGCAAGTTATTCCACTAATTAATTTTTCCACTTTCCTCCTTACTTCTAGGTTGGATCTCTTTTTAAACAAGCTTCCTCCTTGCCTTGGTCCATCCCATAAACCTCACATTCATATGTCCTGCTGATCTTCCTACAATTTTCCCACCATGCTGGTTTTATCTAAGATGCTTTAGATAGGAGTCCTGTGCAGCTGTCACCAGAACCAATGCACCATGAGATTGAAACACCCGCTATCACACTCACACAGCTGCACCTTCCCCAAGATCTTTGGTTTGGTTAGGACTGACAACCACTCCCGACCTCTGTTGAGCTGAGCCATAGCTCCCAGGGGTGAGTGTGCAAAGAGGAATTGATGAGTGTACAAAATTAGGACTGGGGTAGGACTCTGTAGTGGTGAAGACTGGGAAACAGAAGGAGCATGTTAAGAGCATGGTTATATGCCTGGGCAGGGAATGGTGGAGAGGACAACCCTGTTCCAGTTGAAGACTCCTAACCACCATCAAGTCCTTGGAGGAACCCAACTGGTGTCCGGCATCCAACCTCAACCAAGGAAATCAATGCAGGAGAAGCCATAACCATGGTTCACTAGCTCCACCATGGCTCCACAATAACAAAACCACAGAGTTGCCCAATCTTTTCTTGAGAACCTCCCGTGATGGAGCACCCACAACTTCTGGAGGCAAGCCATTCCACTGATTAATACAAATCCAGAGTTGGAAGGGACCTTGGAGGTCTTCTAGTCCAACCCACTGCTTGAGCAGGAGACTCTACACCGTTTCAGACAAACGGTTGTCTAATCTCTTCTTGAAAACCTCCCGTGATGGAGCACCCACAACTTCTGGAGGCAAGTCGTTCCACAGATTAATCAGCTTCCTCTCTACCACCTTCGTCTCAACCCCATGTCCTCCTCACTGCCACAATGTCTCTCCAACCTGCCATTCGCCCTGCCCCGAAGTCCCTTTCCAAGCTCTGGANTTAAAGCGCTTCATGGCATAGGACCCGGTTATCTCCGAGACCGCCTTCTGCCGCAGATTCCCTCCCATAGACCGGTACGCTCCCACAGAGTGGGTCTCCTCAGGGTGCCGTCGGCCAAGCAATGTCGGCTGGCGACCCCCAGGGGGAGGGCCTTCTCTGTGGGTGCCCCTGCCCTCTGGAACGAACTACCCCCTGAGATCCGGACGATTCCGGATCTCCTTACCTTCCGTCGCGCCCTCAAGACATGGCTTTTCCAGCAAGCGGACCTGGCCTAGGGAGGATTTTATACTGGGTTCATTTTAAGGAATTCGAAATAACACAACTTTAAAACCTGGTTTAATTCGGTTTTACAGGGGGGGATTGTATATATGCCTTTGTTTTAAATATGTTGTGAGCCACCCTGAGTCCCGTCGGGAGAAGGGCGGGATATAAATTAAAATAAATAAATAAATAAATAAATAAATAAATAAATGAAACATCTGCAGAAAATAACCAAGCTCTGAGAGTACCAAGGACCTCACAATCCCCCCTCCTCCTCCCCCTCCCCTCCTCCCCCTCTAAAATCCCCCTCCCTTCTAGCACTGATGATGTTACTTAGTTTGGGTAATGAAACATCTGCAAGAAAGCTATCAAGCTCAGTGGGTACCAAGCACCCCTCAGTCCTCCTCCTCCTCCTCTCTTCAAATCCCAATCCCTTCTAGCACTCTTACCTAATTGGATCATGAAACTGTTACCTAATTGTGTCTGCAAGAAAACAAACAAGCTTAGAGAGCACCAAGGAACCCACAGTCCTCCTCCTCCTCCTTCTCTCCCTCCCTTCTAGCACTGATGATGTTGCCTAGTTGGGTAATGAAATGTCTGCAAGAAAACAACCAAGCTCAGACAGCACCGAGGAGTCTCTATTTCAGCCCTAAGCTACAAATATTCTCCTTTATTGGTTCCATTTAATTCTCAAATACTGGCTGGGACCTGTAGCTTTCTTGCCAAGGTTTTTCAGAAGCAGTTTGCCATTGCCTCCTTCCTAGGGTAGAGAGAAAATGGCTGGCCAAGGTCACAATCGCCTGTTTTTTTAAGCTAAAGAGCTTAACCTGAGGGCCTTATGTGCTACACTAAACTGGCTCCTATTTATCCTGTCTTAATTAACCTGGTTATGGAATGTATCCCTTTTCACACAATATAGGGCCCACAAACTAAACCAACGGGCCATGGAGGCAACCCATGATTCCCAGCTAGCAACTCTGGCAATCTTCAAGGTGTCTGGAGTTCAACTCCCAGAATTCCCCAGCCAGCCACACATCTTAAACTTGCAGAGGCTGGGAAACCCTGGTTTGTTGCTATGCCAGAAAATGGGTTGATCCCGGAATCTGCTTGCCCCAAAAGCGATCCCACCCCCCCCAAATCTCTTTCTTAGAGCCTCCTCTTTCAAAACTAGCAATTCCTCAGGTACTACCTATCCCAGTATCCTGCACTGATGATCAGAAAAACCCCAGGCTGGAGGCAAATGTCGGCAGCTGCTGCTGTTTTGCAACCTCTGAATTTGCAGCCTGTGCTCACACAAAGGTGTGAGGGGGGGGAGCTCTTTACCTGTGTAGACAACTCCATTTATTTCTATTGACATGTTGATGCTGCTAATGCTGTTGGTGGACAGATTCAATGCAGTCTCCTGCCTGTCATCTGGAAGAAAACAGCAAAAGGGAGTGAGGGAGGCAGAGCAACAGAGGAAGAAGGTGAGCGGTCTAGGACAGCTCATCACAGCCAACTTGCCACGCGTGACAATTCCCCACAGCCAACTCTCCATAGCCAACTCACCACAGCCAATTCACTTCAGCCAATTCACCACACCCAACTCACCACAGGACAATTTGCCACAGTCAATTCACCACAGCCAATTCACTACAGCTAACTCACCACAGGACAATTTGCCACAGCCAATTCACCTCAGCCAACTCACTACAGCCAACTCACCAAGCCAATTCACCACAGCCAACTCACCACAGGACAATTTGCCATAGCCAATTCACCACACCCAACTGACCACAGCCAACTCACCACAGGACAATTTGCCACAGCCAATTCACCACAGTCAACTCACCACAGCCAATTCACCACAGCCAACTCACCATGGGACAATTTGCCACAGCCAACTCACCACAGCCAATTCGCCACAGCCAATTCACCACAGTCAACTCACCACAGCCAATTCACTATAGCCAACTCACCACAGGACAATTTGCCACAGCCAATTCACCATAGCCAATTCACCAGTCAACTCACCACAGCCAACTCACTACAGCCAACTCACCATGGGACAATTTGCCACAGCCAGCTCAGCACAGCCAATTCACCACAGCCAACTCACCACAGCCAATTCACCACAGCCAACTCACCACAGCCAATTTGCCATGGGACAATTTGCCACAGCCAACTCACCACAGCCAACTCACCACTACTTCACCACAGCCAAGTCACCACAGTTAACTTGCCACAGGACAATTTGCCACAGCCAATTCGCCACAGCCACAGGACAAAAGTTACTTAATATCGAAGAAATGATGAAATAGAATCATTAAAGAAAGGATGCCAGAGGAGGGACAAAACGAAATGTGAATGACAAAAATTAAAAATTATTTTTAAAATTATTTTGAATCCTGAAATAAAATTGCTGAATTTTGCCACGGTGAGTTGGCCAAGGCGAACTGGCAGGGGTGAGTTGGCTACAGCAAGCTGGCTGTGGCGAGTTGTCATGTTCCACGAATGCGTGTGCACCCACTAGCAGCTACGCGCTCCTGCCCTGGCTGAACCCAAAGCCCAAACATTTTGTGGCAAGCAAAGCTCAAGTGCAGGTTGACTCGGATAGGGGTAATTGCTCTGATGTCCATTGCCCGAAATAGTAGAGGCTGGCCTCCTACAAGTAGTCCTTGTTTAATGACCATTCTTTAATGACCATTCAAAGTTACAGCAGACCCCACACCACCACCCCAAACATTACTTACCACCTGTCCCCGAAGTTACAACTGTTGTTGCATACACACCCTGTGATCATATGACTGCATTTTGGGCACTGGGAAACCAGCTCGTTTTTTACAACTGGTTGCAGCATCTCGTGGTCACGTGACCGCGATTTGCAAGATTTCTTTTGCTGGTTTCTGCCAAAAAAGTTCCCACGCCCATACAGGAGAGTTGATTCACTTAATGTCCCTGTGCTTCGCTTAACAACAATTAGCTTAATGACAATGATGAAATAAAATCAAATCAGGTCATGTTGTGACCTGCTTAGAGTTCAAATCAGCTACTTTATTGTTTTCTGCCTATAACGCAGGAATCTCCCCAGACTGGCAGCTTGCGCCTGGGAAAGACCAGATTAAGACTCAAAAATATTCAGGTCTTGCCCTCTTGTGTTTATGTATCAGATGGTCTTGCCCTCTTGTGTTTGTGTAGCAAACCTAGGCTAATTCCCTGCTTGAACCTTCTGCCCAACTGGGATGGCTGCTCTCCAACAATCCCTGAATTACAGAGAGGCACGTAAATTATTCCCACAGAGAGTGCAAAGAACTGGGGAATGGAAATCGGCCTGGTGGGAATAGGTTCCACAGCCTCCCCCACCCAACTACACTTCCCAGATGCCCTTGGGCCAATGCAGAACTCAATGGAGATGTTTTCCGCCCCTGAAAGTGATGGACGAGGAACCCACCTCCACGGCTGTTGACCTTGATGTTGACCGGGAACTGGGAGGCCATGGCCAAGAGGTTCTGCTGAAGAGCTTGCTGGACCAGGCGCTGCTGCTCTTCAGCCACCAGCGCCATCTTCTTCTCTGGGGGCTCGCTGGTCTCCAGCTTCTCCCGCAACTGCTCCAGGGCAGCTGCCTGAGATGCAGCGGCTTGTGCTGCCACCAGGTGATGCCCGGCTAGGCTGACAGGTATAGCGATGCGGCTGGGCACCCCGGGGGACAGGAGGCTCTCTTCTGCGAGGAGGAGGAGGAGGAGTTAACAGAAGACAACAAAGGTGCAGCGACTTTTCTAAGAATGTCATGGCTGTCATATCTATCTACCTACCTACCTACCTATCATCTATCTATCTATCTATCTATCTATCTATCTATCTATCTATCTATCTATCTATCTATCTATCTATCATCTACCTACCTATCTACCTATCTACCTATCTACCTATCTATCTATCTATCTATCTATCTCTATCTCTATCTCTATCTCTATCTCTATCTCTATCTATCTATCTATCTATCTATCTATCTATCTATCTATATCTATCTATCTATGTATCAATCTATCTATCATCTATCATCTATCTATCTCATCTATCATCTACCTACCTATCTACCTATCTACCTATCTACCTATCTATCTATCTATCTATCTATCTCTATCTCTATATCTATCTATCTATCTATCTATCTATATCTATCTATCTATCTATCTATCTATCTATCTATCTATCATCTATCTATCTATCTATCTATCTATCTATCTATCTATCATTTATCTCTATTTAATCTCCCTCTTTCTCTATCCATCCATCATCTATCATCATCATCTGTCATATCTATATATCTATCCATTCATCCATCCATCCTATACATCTATTCTGTCATCTATCACCATCTATCTTTCTTTCTATCATTTATCCATCTGTCTATAACTATCTACAGTATTATCTATCATATATAAATCTTCTATTGCTCTATTTATATCTATCTATCTATCTATCTATCTATCTATCTATCTATCTATCTATCTATCTATCTATCTATCTATCTATCTATCTATCTATCTATTGTATATCTCTATCTATCTATATCTCTATCTATCATCATTTGGTATAAAATTTCCTGTTTAATCAGAGGTTAGACTAGAAGATCTCTAAGCTCCCTTCCAACTCTGTTATTCTGTTATTTATCAATCAATCAATCAATCAATCATCCATCTATTCATCTATCTCTCTATTTATGTACTAGTGGCTTGCCCACCAGTGTTGGTGGGAGTGATCTTGGTGGTTCCACGATTAGCTGTTATTTACTTGAGTTAGTAACCAAACAAGAACAGAGAGCAACCCCCCTCCCTTCTAGCACTCATGATGTTCCCTAGTCGGGTCATGAAACGTCTGCAAGAAAATAGCCAAGCTCAGAGAGCACCGAGGACCCCACAATCATTCTCGTCCTCAGCTTCCTTCTCCTTGTCTCCTCCTCCTCTTCTCTGCAAACCCCACTCCCTTCTAGCACTGATGATGTTCCCTAGTCGGGTCATGAAACATCTACAAGAAAACCACCAAGCTCAGAGAGCACCAGAGTTCACCCTGAGCTGCAGTTATTCTCTTCTATCGGTTATTCTGCTGTGCTGAGAAAAGAGATATGGGCCCTTCCCAGAGTATCGAACTACAGCTCCCATAACCTACTTCCAGCCACCAAGCATGGAAGGGGACTGCATCTAGAAAGGAGAAGACTATAGCTTCGGAGTCCCCTGACTCTCTGAAGGCTGCAAGAAAAAATGGGTTTGGCAAGGGCAGGGATAGGCAACCTTGGCTCTTTTATGACTCGTGGACTTCAACTCCCAGAATTCCTGAGCCAGCACGGCTCAGCTTGGAAACCTCTCCCTTTCCCCTCAGCATGGCTGGCTCAGGAATTCTGGGAGTTGAAGTCCACCAGTCATAAAAGAGCCAAGGTTGCCTACTTCTGGCCTAGGCCTAGGCTGCTTTATGACTCGTGGACTTCAACTCCCAGAATTCCTGAGCCAGCATGGCTCAGCTTGGAAACCTCTCCCTTTCCCCTCAGCATGGCTGGCTCAGGGATTCTGGGAGTTGAAGTCCACGAGTCTTAAAAGAGCCAAGGTTGCCTACCCCTGGGGGCAAGGGGGAAAAAGCCCAGCGTGTCCTTTTCCAAGTTTATTTATTTATTCTGGTGCATTCAGGGCCGAACCTTTAACAAGGAACAGCCTGAAACGCAATTAAAACAGATCAAAACCAGTCAATGGTGGCTTTTTCTTCCCTTTGAGGTACCTTTTTCAGTTTGGGTTCACTTTAGAAAGAAGCGATTTGGCCCACAAGATTTTCGCACCAAATGTCGGTCACTGGGGGGAAGGTCAGGACAGGGGAATCAAGAGGTAGTCCTCAACGTATGACAGTTTGGTTTAGTGACCGCTCGAAGTTACAACACCACTGAAAAAAGTGACCGATGACCATTTCTCACACTTTAAACAACCGCTGCAGCATCCCCACAGTCACACAAAATTCGGACAACTGACTCCTATTTATGACGGCTGCATTTGTGTCGCGCGGTCACGTGACCCCCCTTTTGCGACCATTTGACAAGCACAGTCAACAACTGTGTTGCTATTTTAACAGCTGAAGGGATCCACGTAACAACGCTGGCAAGAAAAGTCGTACAAACGGGGCCAAACTCACTTAGCAAATGTCTCCCTTAGCAACGGAAATGTTGGGGCTCAAATAAATCGGGGAACTACCTGTACCCCAAAAAAGGAGGCATTTTCCTGCAGAGGTTCGGCCTTTCCCCCTCGCTCTGCCTTTGCCCCCTCCCACGGGAACCCTCCCTTTCCCCTTCCCCCTCCCCAGCAGCCCGAGACCCTCACCTTTTTTGACGGCGTGGGCTTGCCCGATCTGGCTCCCGTTGTGGGTGGCGAGGGCGAGGGCGGGCAGAGGGACCTTGGGAGAGGCGAGAGTGCCCGGTGTGCCTGTTGGCGAGTAGCTGAACAGGGTGGCCCCGAACATCTGCCGCCTCCCTTCCCGACGGTTGCTGTCGATGGCGGCTTGCAGCTCTCCGGGAGAGCTCAGCCCCCGTTTCTCACATTCGTAAGGGTAGAGGTACTTCATGTATCTGCGAGGAGAAGCAGAGAGGTTGGCAGAGACAACGTTCCATCGCCACAGCAGGAAGGGACCTTGGAGGTCTTCTAGTCCATCCCCATGCTCAAGGCAGGAGACCCTATACTACAGGGCCTCCTGCCTTGAGCATGGGGATGGACTAGATACCGTTCCGGACAAAGGGCTGTCCAGTCTCTTCTTGAAAACCTCCAGGGATGGACCACCCACCACTTCTGGAGCCAAGTCGTTCCACTGGTTAATTAACAGAATAATAGAGTTGGAAGGTACTTTGGAGGTGTTCTAGTCCAACCCCCCCCCTGCTCAAGCAGGAGACATTGTACCATTCCAGACAAATGGTTGTCCAGTGTCTTCCTGAAAACATCCAATGATGGGTTCATACTGAAAGTGAGACCTGTATCAAACAATGTTTCAAGGTTTTCTATTGCTGGTCATTCTAGAAGTCTACAATGGGCATCGTATCAATTAGTATCAAATGAATCAAACCCATTCTCTCTCTCTCTCTCTCTCTCTCTCTCTCTCTCTCTCTCTCTCTCTCTCTCTCTCTCTCTCTCTCTCTCTCTCTCTCTCTCTCTCTCTCTCTCTCTCTCTCTCTCTCTCTCTCTCTCTCTCTCTCTCTCTCTCTCTCTCTCTCTCTTTCTCCCTCTCTCTCTGTGTCTTTCTCTCCCTCTCTCTCTGTCTTTCTCTGTCTATCTCTGTCTCTGTCTCTCTTTCTCCCTCTCTCTGTCTCTCTCCCTCCCTCTCTGTCTGTCTTTCTCTCTCACTCTCTTTCTCTCTCTCTCTCTCTCTCTCTCTCTCTCTCTGTCTTTCTCTCTCTCTCCCTCTCTCTTTGTCTCTCTCTTTCTTTCTCCCTCTCTGTCTTTCTTTCTTTCTCTCTCTCTCTTTCTCTTTCTCTCTCTCTTTCTCCCTCTCTCCTCTGTCTTTCTCTCTCTCCCTCTCTCTCTGTCTTTCTTTCTTTCCCTCTCTGTCTGTCTTTCTCTCTCTCTGTCTGTCTGTCTTTCTCTCTCTCCTTCTCTCTCATCTCTCTCTTTTGCATTTGTCACTTAACACATGCAAAGAAGCAGAGGGGGCCTACACTTTTCTAAGCCTCCCCATCTGTAGCCTGGTCATTCCCAGATCTCTCTCTAAAATCTCTGGTCACAGCTCATTCTGCAGAGAAGAACAACAAAGATGATTAAAGGCCTGGAGATAAAAACATACCATATGAAGAACAGTTGTAGGAATTGGGTATAACCAGTCTAGAGAAAAGAAGGACTAGAGGTGACAGGATAGCAATATTCCAGTATTTGAGGGGCCACCACAAAGAAGAGGGGGTCAAGCTACTCTCCAAAGCACCTGAAGGCAGGAGAAGAAGCAACAGATGGAAGCTAATCAAGGAGAGAAACAACCTGGAATTAAAGAGAAACTTCCTAACAGTGAGAACAATTAACCAGTGGAACGGCTTGCCATAAGAAGTTGTGGGTGCTCCAACACTGGAGGCTTTTAAGAAGAGATTGGACAATCATTTGTCTGAAATAGTATAGTGTTTCCTGCTTGAGCAGGGGGTTGGACTAGAAGACCTCCAAGGTCCCCTCCAACTCTGTTCTTCGGTATTCTGTGTTCAGAAGATCTCCAAAATCCTTTCCAGCCCTACCATTCTATGTTCTAGGCCTCCTCGGTCTTCAAAATCTCCACTTTTGTTTCCTGCAGGGGCCAATCCTAACACAACATTTCTAAACCATGTTCCACGCACACACATACCCATCCCGGCCACAGTGACTTACTGTGTGCGGAGCGTGAAGGCTGCGCTGGTGATGGAGGTGGGCAGATTCAAGCCTTTGGTGATCTCCCGCCAGATCTTCTTATTGATGACTTCCACCAGGCCCCCTTTCTCAGTCACCAGCCGATAGAGCGTGTAGAGATCCAGCACTTGCTTGGCCATGATGGGGATCCGGTTTACGGGGGTCCCTGGGGAGAGGGAGGGAGGGAGGGAGGAAAATGGGGACCACACAGAAAAAGGTTTTAAAAAAAGAAATCACCACCCAAGTCAATGTTTCTAATCTTGGCCACTTGAAGATGGGCGGATTTCATCTCCCAAAATTCCCCAACTGGCCATGATTTTGTGCTGAGTTTTTTTCTTCTTAATGCTCTGCACTTCTTTTTAATTATTTTTTTTAAAAAATCAGGCCCACACCCCCCCCCCCAGCACTGCAATACTGTGTAAATTTAGTTTAGATGCTTTTTACTGTTTTTAAACTGTTGCCACTGTTTGTGTTGTGGCATATTTTTTGAATGACAAGTTGCTCAGAGTCATTGATCGAAATAGGAGAAAAAGAAAAAAGAAAAGAAAGAAAGAAAGAAAGAAAAAGAAAGAAAGAGAAAGGAGGGAGAAAGAAAGAAAGAAAGAAAGAAAGAAGGAAAGAAGGAAGGAAGGAAGGAAGGAAGGAAGGAAGGAAGGAAGGGAAGGAAGGAAGGAGAAAGAAAAAGGAGGGAGAGAAAGAAAGAAGGAACGAAGGAAGGAAAGAAAGAAAGAAAGAAAGAAAGAAAGAAAGAAAGAAAGAAAGAAAGAAAGAAAGAAAGAAAGAAAGAAAGAAAGAAAAGGCTTTGCAAAGACCTGGCTGGAGTCCTCTAAACACATTGCTCGGTGGAGGCTTTAGGGAGAGGATCTGGTATATCTGGTAGGTCAAGAAGGGCTGACTTCCCACTCCCATTCTTTGTCGAGGGGTTACAAAATTGGAAAAGAGGAAAATAAAGGAGAAAATTTGTAGTTCATGGATGAAATGAGGGATCCTTGGTGTTCCAAGGACCAAGGACCCAATACTATTATTATTATTATTATTATTATTATTATTATTATTATTATTATTATTATTATTATTATTATTATTATTATTATTATTATTATTATGGATCATCGCACAGTCAGCCAGATGTTCAGACTGGATTTGGCATTTTTGTCTACCTATCGAGTCCTTACCAAGGACCTGGGATAGGCAGATGTGGATGTTTGATGGTATATTACAGATATCATCGCAGGATGGAAGCAGTTCCTAGTAAGGCCGCCATTTGCAATTGACTAATGGCAAATTTGTCAATGCCGATGACAGTGTTCAAGTGGTACTCCACTTGTTTTGGGATTGCACCCAAGGCGCCTATTACTATTGGTACCACCCTTGCTTGCTTTTGCCACAGTCTTTCTATTTCTATTTGTAGTCTTTGTATTTTGTTATCTTCTCCAGTTCTTTCACATCTATTCTGCTGTCTCCAGGCACTGCCACGTCCACTATCCAGACTTTTTTGTCTTTCTTATTGACAATTGTTATGTTGCAGGTGCTTGTCTGTTTGAATTCTGAAGTCCCAGAGCAGTTTAACTTTATCATTTTCTATGACTTTCTCTATATTATTATTATTATTATGGATCATCGCACAATTATTATTATTATTATTATTATTATTATTATTATTATTATTATTATTATTATTATTATTATTATTATTACTACTACTACTACTACTACTACTATTACTATTATTATTATTATTATTATTATTATTTCTTCTTCTTCCTCTTCTTCTTCTTCCTCCTCCTCCTCTTTCTGGTTTCCTCTTCTTCCACTCTGCAAACCCCACTCCTTTCTAGCACTGATGATGTTCCATAATTGGGTCATGAAAGGTCTCCCAGAAAACCACCAAACTCCGAGAGCACCAAGGACCCCTCAAAAGGGAAAATACTTGCCACCCACAAGGGAGAACCCCTCCAGCCTGGCCAGGGGCACTGCAGTGGGAGCTCGGTCCTTCCAGACGGAGCAGGAGCAGGTGCCAAAGTGGGCAGTGAGGAAGCCACCCGGCTCTCCTCTGGGTGACTCAAGAGGCTGTTAATTAGCCCTGGATCTGCGGTGAAAATCTGTCGATGCCGGCTGGTTATTGGAATTGATTTCAGTTTAGAAGCTGATCCAGGGCGGAGGGCAAAGAGCATGCTGGGAACGGCAGAGGCCAAGTGGGGTGCTATGGCCGAGGGGCTCCCCTTCTTCAACCTAACCTCCAAAGCATCCGAAGGCAGGACAAGAAGCAACGGATGGAAGCTAATCAAGGAGAGAAGCAACCTAGAACTAAGGAGAAATTTCCTGACAGTCAGAACAATCAACCAGTGGAACGGCTTGCCATAAGAAGTTGAGGGTGCTCCACCCTGGAGGCTTTTAAGAAGAGATTGGACAATCATTTTTCTGAAATGGTATAGGGTTTTATGCCAGAGCAGGGGATTGGACTAGAAGACCTCCAAGGTCCCTTCCAACTCTTTTATTCTGTTCTGTTCTGTTGGTAAGACTCCCCTTGGAATACTGCATCCAGTTCTGGTCACCAGAATTCAAAAAAAAAATGTTGAGACTCTAGAAAGAGGGCAGAGAAGAGCAACAAAGATGATCAGGATTCTGGATGCGAAAACATATGAAGAAGGGTTGCTGGAACTGGGTATGTCTAGTTTAATGAAAAGAAGGACTAGAGGTGACATGATAGCAGTCTTCCAGTATTTGAGGGGCTGCCACAGAGAAGAGGGGGTCAACTTGTTCTCCAAAGCACCCGAAGGCAGGACAAGAAACAACGGATGGAAACTAATCAAGGAGAGAAGCAATCTGGGACTAAGGAGAAACTTCCTGATTGAGAACAATTCATCAGTGGAAAAAACTTCCCTCCAGAAGCTGTGAATGCTCCAACACTGGAGGTTTTTTAGAAGAGATTGGACAACCATTTGTCTGAAATGGTGTAGGGCAGTGATGGCGAACCTTTTAGAGACCAAGTGCCCAAACTGCAACCCAAAACCCACTTACAGTATGTATTGTCGGGTGCCGGGTGGGCATGGGCGATTGGGTGGGCGTGGCTGCGGTGGTAATGGCAGACTGGGTGGGACTAAAAAGTTCAATCAATCAATTCCAACTTTGCAAGATTTTTTTTCCCCATAAGAAGTTGAAATTGACTGATTGACTGAACCTTTTTTTTTTTTTTTGCACATGGCGGCGGAGGCCTAAAGCGAAAAGGTTTTATAAAACCCAGCTGAAGGCCCAGGACTGGGGCAACGGTGCGCGTGTCCACAGAGAGGGCTCTGAGTGCCGCCTCTGGCACCCGTGCCATAGGTTCGCCACCACTGGTGTAGGGTTTCCTGTCTGAGTAGGGGGTTGGACTTGGAAGACCTCTGACGTCCCTTCCAACTCTGTTATTCTATTCTATTCCATAAAAACCTTGCAAGGCACCACTTTGGTGGGTTTGGCATGAAACCCCTGCAGGAGCTGACTCAACTCAGGGGCATCATTTCCCTTAGGGCCCTCGGTGCCCTAAGTCCGGCTTGCAAGATGCCCAGTTCCTTAAACGGACCCTGGATGAGTACAGGAGCAGCTGCCATCTTCCAATCACAAAGAAAAGCCCTTAATTTATACATTCTTTTCTTCCAGAAAGACCACAGGGAAAGAGACGGACCTGGTGGGGTGGGGTGGGGGGGAAATGATCGAAGCCCCATCCATTTGCAGGAGACGCTGGCTTCAAGCGCTCTTTCCTCGCTCCCCCCCTAATTTATGGGCCTCTTATTGGCTAGGATATCCTTCATCAGCTTGAAAAATGACTTGCTTTATTCTTTCCCAGCTGCTCATTCCGGCTGTTTTGTGTTTTAAAAAGTGAAAAGTGGATAAAGAGAAAGATAAAGGTGGATAAAGAGAAAGAGAAATGGCGAGTGTGCAGAAAGGCCAGGAAGGAGAGGGAGGAAAAAAAAACGGTGCTCGTGTTTTGTACTCTGGAGCAAAGGCAGCAGGCCTGGGGGTTTCGGGGTACAGTAAGGGGTTTGCAGATGAGTATTTGGGAAGAAGTGGTCCCGTCGGGTCCGCACAGAGGTGGGCACCAATGGCCATGGGAAAGTTTAACTCCTGCGGACCTCAACTCTCCTGCTGGTTGAGGAATTCTGGGAGTTGAAATCCCCAAATCTTCAAATGGCCAAGGCTGGAGACTCCTGGTGTAGGCAGAGAAACTGGGTGGAAAATCTTTCTGGATATGTTTTTTTTTCTGGAAAAGGAGGAGGAGGAGGAGGAGGAGGAGGAGGAGGAGGAGGAGGGGGAGAACTGTGGGGTCCTTGATGCTTTATGAGCTTGCTTGTTTTCTTAGACATTTCATGACCCAACTAGGTAACATCATCAGTACTAGAAGGGAGTAGGATTTTCAGAGAGGAGGAGGAGGAAGAGGAGGAGGAGGAGGAGAACTGTGGGGTCCTTGATGCTCTCTGAGCTTGGTTGTTTTCTTACAGACATTTCATAACCCCACTAGGTAACATCAGCAGTACTAGAAGGGAGTGGGGTTTGCAGAGAGGAGGAGGAGGAGGAGGAAGAGGAGGAGGAGGAGGGCTGTGGGGTCCTTGGTGCTCTCTGAGCTTGGTTGTTTTCTTGCAGAACTTTCACGACCCAACTAGGTAATGTCATCAGTGCTAGACTGGGCTTTTATATCAACAGAAAGCAACCCCACTCCCTTCTAGCACTGATGATGTTACCTAGTTGGATCGTGAAATGTCTGCAAGAAAACAATTAAGCTCAGAGAACACCAAGGACCCTACAGTCCTCTTCCTCTTCCTCCTCTTCCTCCTCCTCTCCACATAGCCCACACTAGCACTGATGATGTTACCTACCACATTTCCCTGAAAATAAGACCTGGCCTTATATATTTTTTTGCCTCCAAAAGAGGCATTAGGTCTTATTTTGGGGGGATGTCTTATTTTTCCCATTGTCTCACCTCGCGGCGGCAGTACCAACAACCCCATCCAGCAGGAGCCCACGGGGCTGCCACTGTCCCTCTTCTTCCGTGGCTGCTCGCCGCCACTCATGCATGTCGCCCCTGGCCTCTGTTTCGCTGGCAGAGGCCTTCAGGAAAGGCCTCTGCAGCCAAGAACGGAGGCTGGAGGTGACGCATGCGAGTAGCTGCAGAAGAAGTGGGCCTCCTGCAGCCACGCGGGCTCCTGCTGGACGGGGCGGTCGATGTCGCCACCGCGAGGCGAGGCAAGGTGTCAGGGCGTGGGAAGCCTGGCTGCAGGGACCCTGAGGTAAGCGGGTGCGGGGCACATGGGGGCAACTCAAGACATGGCTTTTCCAGCAAGCGGGTCTGGCCTAGGGAGAATTTTAAATAGGGACAATTTTAATTGAAATTTTAATTAATACAGCGGGAAATATTTGTTTTTAATTGGTTTTTATTGGGGGATAATGTTGTATTGTATTGTTTTAATATGCTGTAAGCCGCCCTGAGTCTTGTTGGGAGAAGGGCGGCATATAAGTCTAAGAAATAAATAAATAAATAAATAAATAAATAAACTCCACCTCCTCCCCTACCTGCCTCGCCTCACCTCGTGGCAGCAGCACCGCGAACAACCAGATGGAATGGGCAGGCGGCCAGCTGCACAGGCTCTTAACTTGGGCTTATTTGGGGGGGCTAGGGTTTATATTAGGCATGCGCGTAAAAATCAAGCGAGAGTTTATTTTCGGGATAGGTCTTAATTTGGGGGGAAACACGGTAGTTGGGTCATGAGACATCTGCAAGAAACCCACCAAGCTCAGAGAGCACCAAAGGACCCCACATTCAGGTATTGCTATTTTTTGAGATGAGGAACCTGAGGCCAGAGTGAGTCCGGTTTTCATTTTTACAAAAGCGCTCTGGGGACCTTTCCCCTCTGCAAGGCTAAAACTAAGCCGACAAAAGGGAAGAAGGGAAGGGAAGGAAAGGAAAGGAAAGGAAAGGAAAGGAAAGGA